TACTACTACTATTACTCCTACTACTGCTACTACTGCTACTACTGCTACTACTGCTACTGCTACTACGACGACCACCACCACCACCACCACCACCACCCGCGGCCTCGCTCCACGCGTGGCTTGAACGGCTTCCTGCAAAGGAGAAGGGTGCAGTCAGGCACCGAGAGAAGTCTGCGCTGCAAGAACCGAAGCGTGCAGCTTAATACATAATAAGGATCCTACTATTTAGGGTACTATATTACCCCTATGTAGCCCTATTTTCGGAAACACTCACTCTGCATCGAGCTTTGAAGACTTCTGCCTGCGTCGCCCCCTCCCAATCCTCAGCACCTCGAGGCATGAACCAATGCCTTGCATGAACCAAGCCAGCTGGGCCTCAACTTGGGCGTGGACCACAGAGTCCGCCACGGGGCCCGCAGCTCCGAGGCTTTCCCAGCGCCTTCAAAAGGGGACCAGGCCTTACGGGCCTTCTCAGGGACCCCAAACTTTGTGTTCCCCGGCCCCCCGGCCTCAAGGACCTGTCGCCGCGCTGCTTCTTGTCGCAGCTGCTCCAAGTTCTTCTGAGGGATTTGGAAAAGCTGCGGCTGCTCGAGGTCGCTCCATGCACCGTGCGACTCGGAAGGAGTCTGGAGCATCGATCGGTTAGACAGCGGGCCCGCCGAGCCGACCGACCGCGTTGCAGGGGCAGGTGGGCACTTCTGCGATCCTTCCTCGCGCAAAGATAGGACAACTGCGAATTGCGAGGCCCGAAGTAGTTTGAGAGTGCATGCTACAGGCTGAGGCTCTGTCTACCGCATCTCCGCATGACCAAGAGGACCAGCAGGCCTCTCAACTCGACTTCAGACTCTCACCGGCCCTGCTAGACGAGGTGAAGGTCGTGCTTCTCCTGGCCTGCAGAGTGTCGAGACTCCGGGAGATCTTCTCCGCGGTAACCATCACCTCCTTCTCAAAGCCTTCTGCAGGAACTCCTTCACAGAAGCCCTTGGCACAGCAGCATCTTTCAGGGAAAAAAATGATGACGGTGCAGTCGCTGGGCTGCCAGCATCGGCCACTCTTTCTGAAGGAGTTCGGGTGCAGAGGATCCCTGGCAAAATTTGATGGGAAAACCGTGGATGCCATGCCTGGGAGGAAAGGAGCCTCCGAGGGGACGGCGGCCTCCCAACCTAAGGTCTCTATTTTCTGAGCGTGGACCCTGGGATGGTAGTACTGTTACAAGTAGTACCCACTACCGTCTACATGGCTCTGAGGACACTTGCGTCGCTTTCGCAATCACTCGTGCAGCATCTCGGCTCGTTGCAAGACCCTCGGTTTTTTACCGTCGCCATATGGTACGTCGAATAGGATCACCAGTGACACGGCCCATGCCTTTAAGGCAAAGAGTTCCCACGCTTTACTCTAGCACTCCGCGGGAGACCACCATGACTATATGAATATCTGAACGTACATATGCATATGGTATATACATATACACACATATAAACACACATGCATATACGATATCATTATATGTCTTTATGTATATGCTAAGTGTACGCGTGTGTGTGTGTGTACTTATGAGGGTCTGAATTAGTATGTTCGTTGCGGCTTAAGACACGTCATTTGCTTGTGGGTTGAACATTCTGATTTGCATGACTGAGACAGCACGGGCATTTTTTGTATATATATAATTGTCATTGCAAAGTTCATGACGCACCGCCGACCTTGTCAAGGCGGATTCTCAATTACTGCAAAAAGGCCATGCCGTGACAAGGAAATGTGTACCGGCAGGCGGAATCTGAAACAAGGGACTTCTTGTCCAGAGATCGCAATGAAGCTTATGCTGTTGGGATTCTAGGAGCAAGGACCTCCTTTCCATCGCCTGCCGGCAAACACTTCAAGCCCGTGGCGGGACGAGCAGGCTCTGCCATGCTTCGCCGCAGCGAGCACCCGAAGAGCGAACCTTAGAAAAATCTCATCCAGGCTTGACCTTGACATCCTCCTGTGGAGCCCCGGAAGCCGGCGCCCCGACGTCGGCTCCGACGTCGTGGACCGGTGCATAAACATAGATCATGGCGTCGGCCCCAACCGTCACGAAGACGTGACCATCTGGCTCGAAGGCCATGCTTGTTACACCTGCGGAGTGTGAAGAGAATGTTTGCAGAACTCTTTGTCTTCGGTAGTCCCAAACCTTGACCACCTTGTCCAAGGAAGTAGAAACTAAAGCTGGATGTCGATGGTCAGGACATGCTCGCACGCATGTGATGCTTGCGCGGTGGGCAGGAAATCTTTCCAACTGCGGCCTAATGCCGCGAGTGACCCAGCGAGATGCATCCACCATGCAAAGGTTGCGGTCATCACCTGGGTCCCAAGGGAAGAGCACTTAGACAAGAAAGGAGGAGCCCCTTGCTACTCACCTGTTACTTGAACATGCCTCTGGCAGGTGCAGACAGGCAGCCGCCACTGAAAAGAAACTTGGATCGCTCGAAGGAGAGTGATCTGACTGCGCTGCCCACGTGGGCCGGCAGATCCGTGCCTGCCCAGTCCAGCGTCGCCAAGTGAAGCAAACCGATTCGCCCTGCAGGGGCGGGCGGCTGCCACTGCACAGGCACAAACAACTAGCATTCCCCTGGGAACAGACCCCTTGATTTCTCACTAAGACTTGAAAACGAGAAGCCTGAACTCCGCCCGCAAGCTAGCATCCGACCGTCGCCACTTGCACACATGGCTGTGATGGGGCTGTCAGCTTGCGGTACGAAGCTACGACGAGACTTGCTCGGTCTCTCCTCGTCACCGTTCTTGACTTCTGCGCCCACGGAATTCACAGGCAGCTCTCTTTCGACTCTTTGCTGCCGCAGATCCCAAATGGACAGCCTACCAGAAACGTTGTTACCGGAGACCAGTCGATTACCGTCAGGTAGAAAGCGTATTATACTTCCTTGCCCCTGTATGAGGTCCAGCTGACTTGAGACTTCCTTGGGGTTCCGCAAGTCCCATAGCAGAACATTCCCGTCCTGTGTACAGATCGCTGCCATATCCCGAAAGACATCAAGCGAGCTGGGAGCAGCTGCTGCTCCTTTCAGCCCTTCTTGCACTTCCAGCGCACCTGTAGCAGTGAGCCCTTCATCACCTAGCCTCCACAGCTTCACTGTCGGCCTTGAGGAGCTTGTGAGCACAGTCTCGCCGTTGAATGCAACGGAGAGGATCGGGAGCTTCTTTTTCTGAAGCTCTTCGTCGGCTTGTTTGGCAGAGATCTCCCACTCTGTACTCGAGGCGCCATCGGCCATCAAGCGAAGCCCCCCAGGCCGGCCCCTCGAGTGCTACAAAACTTCCCCATAAGAGCCAACTCTGCACCAGAAGATGCATGGGAAAAATGCAACAGGAACAAAAACACCCATTAAGATGCCAGCAGAATCCAGCAGACTACCGTTGCAGAGCGTGCTTAGAGTACGCGTCTCAAGAATGGAGCAAGACAACCGGTTAAGGGCGACCGCCACTACACGAAGCGGAGAGCATGCGAGCAGGGTAGAGGCTGATCAGGCGCAACTGTGACTACTGCGAAGCTCTCAGACATCTCTCATTTCTATCGAAGGAGCGGCCCATGAGGCTTTTGGGCATGTGTGGGTCAAGCTGAGGGCATGCCAGATCTAAACAGCCCTCCATCTACAAGTATGTTCATGGTCGCCGTCACATCAGAGGGACCGGTCTAGCGTAGGAAGCGGATGTGTGCCACGATCGGAAACGAAATTCCTGAACCATGTCCGTTAGCAACCTCGGGTCAACTTGTCCCTCTTTGGGCTCTGCTCAGAATGTCACCAAGACGCCGGAGAGGTAGGAACCGGTGCATGACATGCGGCAGCACCGAACAAAAGATGATGCTACGACAGCAACCGACACTAAGATTCCGTGGTGAAAACAAGAAGCAATACAGACAGAACATGGACAAACAATAGCATGGCACAATGGAGGAGATTGCCATGCCGGAAAGTACAGAGTCCAGTCGGCAAAAGCACCTTGGCCAACACACGGAATGCCGTGGATAACACAGAAACGGAAAACAGTGCAATGTAATCGGCTGTTCCAGACACTGAACGTGGTGCGGTGCCATTGCACCAGAAAGGCTGCGCAACGCACATGTCGTGAATGCCACAATGTGATACATGCCATGGCAGGTAATGCACTGCAACCTGGTGTAATGCAATGCGATGACAGGGTGGTTACACTCTTCCTAGCATCTTTATATTTGCAGCGTCCCTTCTCGGATGTAGGCATATTGCAGAAAAAAGTGGTGTGTGTGAGTCCGATACCAGAGGAAAAACCCCAAGGAAATCGCTTCTCCTGAATCGAAAGCAGTCGCCATGTTTGAGCAGACCGTCCCTGAGAAGAAGACTGGCAACAGCGAGGACAAGCATCCATCGTCCACTGTCAATCCGATGTCTACTTGAAAAATACCTCCACAAGGCTTTGAGTTTGCGCAGATCCTTCAGTAAGCCTGCTGCAGCAGTGGCATCACGTCCGGGAGCGTGTGCCTCCTAGCGTGCATGCACCAGTACGACAGTTTGCTGACAGGATGGCGACGTCTATGTCCTGGCATAGGGTGATCTCTCTGCATCAAGTCTGTTCTTTAGTGGAGTGCATCTGAGCGCGCGCGACATGAAGGACTAAGTGTAAGCCGATGGTTTTGCACCAAAGCCCAGGAACGCGAATCATGCCGCAATGCATCCCGACCTATTGAGGTGGTCGTGCTCGAGATCCGCCCGAGGGTTCGGCTTGCTTGGCCTTGTCAGTGCTCCGGCACCGGGCACGACAATTGACATGTGAATGAGGCTTCCCCTCCTACTGTCTCCTACAAGGAAGCTACATGCATCTAGTGACCTGAGCGACTTCTTCACTATGTCAAAACGAAACACGGCGGAACTTGCAAGGTCATGTTATCAAGCCTGTCTTTTCCCCAAACGATACAAGAGGCTTGCGCACAGCTGTGCATGCCCTTGGGCTGCAGCGGTTCGGACTGCAGGCGAGGAGGGTGCGGCTGTGGAATTCCCTGACATCTCGCTTTCGCGCAAGAAG